GGGCAAAATCCCTACCAGAACTCTGTTTCTGCCTCAAAAGAAACACAAAATAAATTTGAACTGCTGCAGCTAATGTAACAAGTAATAACATATTTGGGAGCTTTCAGCTGGTGATTTTGTTAAAAAACACGTTTGTACTATGGGCGGCCTGCAGAGTGTTGGCAAACATCAAGGGCGCCTCATATATTGAATTTTAAGCTTGCCCACCGAAAGTCTACTCTAGTCTACTCTATGACAGTGAAAACTGAAATCAGTTGTTACTTCTCTTCTTCTAGAATCAGAATTCTGCGCTCATAATTGTGTCATTACATAAGATAAATACTGTTTACCAAACAACCCCTTAACATATATTTCTTCATGATAACCACACAAATTCTTGAAACCATCTCTTGTTCTTTTCATTGTCATGTTCGCCAACATGTTTTGGTGTCGTGGGTTCCATTATTTTATTTTTTTTCGAGAGATGGAACACATCCTGTCAGCTCTAAGCCCGTCTTTCATGGAAATTTATTAAGGGAAATTTTTATTTCATTTTACTACCCTGAATTTTGGGTAGTGTCAAATTAGTATCCAAATTTTTAAACTTGTCACTCTAGTATCTAAATTTTCAAAAATATCAAACTAATCCCTACGGTTAATCAACGGTTAGTTATTTATTAAATATCAAAACTGCCCTTCGAAAGAAGACACTGTTTATTATCTTCTACCTTCCGATTCTGAATGATATAACTCATGAGATTAACCTTGAAGCACAATAGCAATACTGAAAAAAAACAAAAAAAAAAAAAACGATAACAAGCAACCCCGTTAGCTGATCGGCTCAACCTGTCGCATTTAACGGCCAACAATCAAGCGCCAATCAGCAGAGAATAAATAAAAAACAAAAAACAAGAATGAAAGATAGGAAGTTACAGGTGAGAATGGATGTTACCTGATTTTCTCTCTGTAAATATCTACTAATTAATGCACGAGTGATCATCCAGTTATTGCCTGAACCTTGGGCACTCTGCAGAGTTCAGATTTTCATTCTTAATTACTTTACTCAAGCTTCCAACTACAGAAATGTTCTTGATTCAAAGGTTGAGCATTCCGGCTAGCAATACTCGAGGGCGTTAAAGAAGAGTTTGCATACTTGAAGTCCGAGTTGAATTTTACGAATTCATAGAGAAACAATAACGAAAATACGTATGTAATTCCTTCCTCTCATCTTCCTCGTTTTTCTTGTGTTGATAATGACGGGCTTGGGATTTCCTTGATATCTTTCAGTTGCCATATATCATCGTCCCAAAGAACCTCGTTATCTGTAACATAAGACCCATCCGCCATGCACTCTGTATCCCAACTCGGAAACCAAAACCAACCCCACAACGTTTGCTCCTCCACCAGATTCGAGAACCAGGGCCATTCCTCATCCCAACCCATCACACCCTCTATCGTCGAGTTTTCCGGCACCGTAGTAAACATAGAATCTCCAACGACCCTTTTCACATCCTCCCCAACCTTAATCGCCACCACCCCTTGCATTCCTTTCTGAACCAAGTTCCCCATCGTCTTCTTTCCACTATCAACACTAAGAAGAGCTTTCACATCCCACTCGCTGTTAAATTTCTGTGATTTCGTTGCATTTCCCACCATTCTGAAGTCTTCCTCTTTGCTTCTCTTCTTCGCCGTCCTCTCCACAAAAGAACTCATCCGTTGTACCCTTTTTATTTTCTTTTGAAGTTTTCCTGGATTGGGTTATCTTTCGTGAGGACTGTGGAAGCCGATTTTTCTTTTTAAGTTGTGGGGTTGATGGTGACGGAAAAGAGGAGGAAAGTCCATGTTTACAGAGAGAAGAAGGCGAAACTCGAAAGGCTGTCAAGTGGAAATGGCGAAACGTGTTTGGGTCAAAGGTGAAATTCACTTTTTTTTATTTCAGTATTGCTATTGTACTTCAAGGTTAATCTCATTACTTGAATCTAATCCAGAATCTCGGACACCTCAGTCGTAGTTTTAAACTTTTAAATAGATAACTGATAGTTAATTAACGGCAAGAACCAACTTAATACTTTTTGAAAATTTAGATTTTACAGTAACACATTTGAAAGTTCTAGTACTAACTTGACACTACCCCAAAAATCAGAGTACTAAAGTAGAATTTACTTCCTCTTGCTTTGGATGCAGATGCACCAGCCACCATGCACGAGCGAAAGATGGGGCCTTTGAAAGCACTCGATCCATTTGCTAGCAGCAGGAACAATACTTACTGACTTTGCAACTTGAAGGGCCCTTTGTACATGTTATCTGTTTAGACTCCATGCACTGACAATGACCACAAAATTAGATGTAGATTGCATGGATGTCTATTTCTAATCTGACTTTTCATAGCCACATGAAGAAGAATGCAATCAAGATGTGATTCCACCATGAATAGCAACCAGTCGAAGTTTATCCTTAATTATGCCATCCATTCTTTTCTAGAGTTGTCGAGTTGAGTTATGCATAAAAAGAGATTGTGACTTGTGTGAGGCCTAGAGAAAAAAGTCAGTATACAATTGAATGGATAAGACAATATTGATCAGGAATCTGTCTAAGACCAAACTCTGCAATTCTGGAGTGCTGGGCGTCGAAGACATGCTGCTCCAGCTTTTATATATCTAATCTTCTCCTAGAATTTTGATCTACAAGTTCGTCATTCTCATTGTGGACCACGAAAAAGACTGGAAATCAGTAATCTCTAGTCCACAAATATCATTCTTTCCAAGCAAAAAGAAAGAAGAAGAAAAAAAAAATCCTGAATAAATATGAGCAGGGAAACAAATTGGTCCATACATCAAGTCAAAACTCAGAACATAATGGAGCCAACTAAAATAAATTGCGGGCCATTAATTAGGTGGGGCATGCCGTTTATTTGCAGTATAATTTCATTTGCACTAGTACAAATGCATGAGAATGCAAATTCTGGTTAATTTGGCTTTGTGTTCACTTTGCTCTACTTCAGGTTTTATTCTACTTACACTATACTGCAATTAAACAAAATAAGGTCAAAACTGAAACAAAATTAAGTAAAAATTTACATACAAATCATTTGCACTCCCATGCTTTTGAACTAGTGCACTGCAAACAAACCAGGCGTTAGGAACACACAGGCATCTTCATAATAAATTTAATCCTTTAGGCTGAGTTTGGAAGGAGTATAAATGCAAATATGTAGAGTGCAAAACCTTATATTTTGTATTATTTTGTATGTATTTACGCTGTACATATTTGTATTTGTACTGCTTCCAAACTGAGCCTTAGGGCTTAGGTTCGGTTTGAAAGGTGTACAAATATAAATATGTAGAGTGCAAGACCTTGAGTTTTATATTATTTTGTATGTATTTATGTTGTATATATTTGTATTATTATACCATTTGTATGTATTTATACCATATTTATATTTGACTCTTTCCAAACTAAGTCTTAATAACGAATAAGGATTAGTTGAACGCAATAGCTATTCAGTGGGCTGTGGAACCAATGATATCTTTCCATGCCAGTAATAAAATACATGAGACCTCACTATGGGCCGCATGTACTTTTTTCACTGGTAGGGGGCATTACCATTGGTTCCACCTGCTGAACAGCTATAGCATTCAACTAATCCAAATTTCTTAATAACGTGAGGCTGTGTTTGGTTTGAAGGAAAAGGAAGCAAAAGGCAGGGAAACCTAATATAAGGTTTGTAAAGGTTTCCCTACATTTCCCATTCTTTCCCTGCCTTTTCCTTCAAGCTAAACATAAGGTAAATCTCTAGATAAAAACAATTGAACATGAACTGCTTCTTTTTTATTAAAAAAAAAAAAACAAATAAACAGAGAGGATAATATTGCAGAGTCCAGGCTTCCTATAGTACAAAGTAGGAACCTTAAAATTTCTTCCAACAATCAACAGCATCGTCATTATCACATCATATATCAAGTTCTACTTAAGATTAATTATGTTTTGTCTTTTAATGATGCGCCCGTCCACCAATTTGTAAAAGAAAAAGAGGCAAAAGGGATTTACCAGCTAGCATGCCTCGTGAAATATAATTCATTAGAGGTGACTACTCAAAGGAAATAAAGTTGAAAAGAAAGAAAAAGCAAATCCCACCTTGCATATAAGTATATTACTTTCTGTTTGCAGATATGGTTTGAGTACGTCTGAAAAGATTATGTAGGAAATTATTACCTTTTAAAGAACTATTATCCTATTTTTGGCATCTAACTTTCCTTCTTGATTTCAACTAATAGAAGGTGCTCCTGTGAAATTAGAATCAGAATGGTCTATTTCCGTAGCCTGTTTGGTTCAGACAAGAATCAAAGTAAGAATTGGAATCAGATGGAATAGGATTTTATTCCCAAAAAAGAGAAAAGAAATGACCATTCGCTCAAATAGGGGAATGTCATTTCACCAGAAATGGGAATAGGATTCCGATTCTACCCAACCAAACAATTGGAATTAAAATAGCCCATTCCGTTTCCAATTCCAGACCCCTATTCCCATAAACCAAATGGGCCTTAATTACTAAAAGGACTGCCCAGCCCACTCCAGGTCTCAGAGACTTGACATACAAACTTTTTGCCTCCTAAGCCAAGATCAGATATACTGTACAGTATGCAGATGCGACCTTGTCAAAATAATTGGGGCCTCAAAAATATTAATAGCCTCATCCAAGTAAGGTATCTGTGCACAAAATCATAGAGCATTTTCTTCTTTTATTTGATTATTTCTATTCTGTTGTTACTTACTTTTATTCACTTTAGAGGCTTACACAGCCCGTTTCATTCACTTTAAAACTGATTACATGAATGGTGCCCTCAAACATTGGAATATCGGCCAAAGTCAGAAGAGTAAACAACTTGCAAACCATAGAACATAGAAAATCTTTGAAACATTCTGTACCATCAATTTATTTACACAATTCTTTTACATCTTAATGTGCATTTTCAGAAAGAAAAAAAA